CTGGCCACGCGTGGAGGAAGGCTCCACTTGGCCAGCTCAGCACTGAGGCTCTGCTTCCCCCACGGCGCCGCCTTGGTGCCCAGGCTGCTTCCCCGAGGCCCCAGGAGCCGAGGAGGGTCTCTTCCCGGCCTCCCTGGCTCTGCCGCTCATGCCTGTCCCAGTTCCTGTGCCCCGTGGCTGCCCCAGCCAGACCCCGGGCATGTGGTGCTTTGGTGGGTGAATGTCCCGCGTCTGCCCAGGCCCAGGTGACATTCGGGCGTCTGCAGGCCGGGCTAGTGCCACCGTGGCCCCTGGCCTGGGCCTAGAGGCTGGGAGCCCAGATGGAAAGAGCATTCAGTACGGCTCCGAAGTCCTTCCTGGCCCTTCCCCGCTGCTGACCTGCTGTGACCCGAACGTATCCCTTCTCCCGCAGCGGCTGCTTTCTCGCTTGGGGATGGGGAAAGTTGGTAGCCTACTGGACAAGTGTGAATCCCGTCCCCGTCTGCCCTCCATGCGCTAGGACCAGAGACGTGGGAGTCTGACAGGGGGTCCTAGCCGGGGGGTTGAGTCTCCCCCTCTGAAATCCCCCAACTTTTGTCTCACAGGCCAGGACTCTGTCTCCCCGCTGGTCGTTACCCTCCCCTTGTCATCTGTCTCCGGACTGTCCATCACTCACTTCCTGTGCCCTGCAGCCTGACTGTGTGCAGGGCAGACGGTCTCTGTGCCTGCCGGTCCCTTGTGGAGCTCCAGGAGCCAGTGAGCCAGAGACAGGCCGCAGAGGCATGCACAAATTGCCTGGGGGCCCAAAGGTGCGGGGCGGGGGGGCAGGGTGGAGGGGGCCTTCACTGGGGGTGGCTGTGGGCTGGAAACTAGGAGGTGGAGGGCGGTGAGACAGGGAATGTGGTAGCCACGGCGACATAGGGTGAGGTGGTCTCCTGCTGGGGTGGCCGGCTGGCTGGCCTGGGGACATCTTTAGACCCAGAGTTCAGTTCTTCCCCAGAAGGGCCAGTAGAGGGTCCCCTACCTGCCCCTACCCCATGCCCCCACCCCAGCATTTCCTAGTGCTTCCGGTGACCACATTTGGAAAGCAGGAACGCTGAGGTCCAGTGGTGAAGGGAACAGGGCCAAGGTCATGGGGGCAAGGATGGGAGTGACCCTCACACTTCCCAAGGCCCAGGCCAGCACTGCCTCTAAGCTGTCTGAGATGCAGAGACAGAGGACTCCTCAGGCTCTGTCCCTGTGAGGCAGCAGCCCCGGGGTCCTGAGCCAGCCTTGGTCTCACAGACTGTCAACGGAATTCTTCGAGGTCCCAGTTCTAAGACTGACCTCCAGGAATGGTGGGAGCTCTCTCCCTCCTGCCCCAGGCCCATCCTGGGGTCCTCCTCACCATGCGGGGCAGAGCTACCTTCTCTGAGCCTTCTGGTTCTCATCCTACCCACAGCGTCCTCCCTCCCCGTCCCTATAGGGTGGACCCCACCAGACTAGAAAGAGGGTGGCCTCCATTCCTTCCCATTCTTCTCCACCTCCTCACCCCTTCCAATGTGGGAGCTCATAGCTCCCCCACTGCACCATGCTGGGGGTAGGGGACATTGCTGAAAGCAGCATCCTGGCCTTGGTGACCCCTGCCTGAAAGCTTTGTCTACACGTCCCCTGGCCCTCCCTGGCAGCCTGCAGGGCCTCTGCACGGCCCCCATCCTCCAAGATGGTGCTTATGCTGACCTCTGAGGGCTCCCCTGCTCCTGACCGAGGGTGGGGAGAGCCCCTCCAGCTCCCTCTCCAGAGGACTTGCCGCCGGCCCACAGGTTCCTCCAGGAACTCTCCTTCCTCTCCTTGGATGCAGCTAGAGTGGCCCACCAGGCTTGTCCTCTCCCTGGCAAGCCCGGTCCTGCTGTGGCCCCTTGGACAGACCCTACCAGGGGGCGAGGGGAAGCCCCCGGAGGTGGGGGTACGGGACGCTGGAGGGTCCAGCAGGCCCTCACTAGCTCCCAAGAGCCCCTGAACTTGCATCCCGACACCCCACCCGGGAGCAGGAGGCACCAGACCCTGAAGGGGTGAATGGCAGCCACAGGCCACGAGCCTCCCCCGGACCTGCCTCGTGCTGCCCTTGGAGAGTCTGCTTAGCTGGCCTGCTCCTCAGCACCAAGGGACCCCCTAACAGGCCTTATGGCTGCCTGAGCCTGGGCCCAGCTCGAGGGCCTTCTAGGGTAAATGCGTCGGAAAGTGGGGTCCCAGCCCCAAGCACGGAGCAGGGGGTCCTGGCCTGGCCCGGAGAGCAGCCACCCTGCTCTCCACCTGCCCGGACACTTGGGGGCAGAGGGCCCCCAACTCCCCACCCCCACCCCCTGCCCAGCTCCCCATGAGGCTTTTGCTCGTGTTCCCGTTGGTGACTCACTGTGGCCAAGGAAAAGTTTCTTTCTATTCCTTTCTCATTTTTTTTACGGTTTCTATTTTCCCTGGCAGAGGATGTTGGGCCCAAATCTGATCCACGTGTGAGCCAGCTGAACTCAGAAGCATTCTCAGGGAAGTGACGTCCCCCCTGCCCCGGCCTCGAGCCTCCCTGCTTGACACACTCAACTGGGGGCCACAGAGCAAATTCCAAGACAGAGTTTCAAGAATGATGATTCAGAGGCTCAAAGAGGACATTTACGGGTAAGAGCTTGCTTCATCTCTGTGGCCAGGACCAGCCTAGGGACACATGACAGGGCGAGTACAGAGCAGGGACCAGGAGGCTGGCTGGGGGCAGGGTCTGGGTGGTGCTCAGACAGCTCAGGTGGGCTACCAGGCATAGCACGTGCTCCCATCTGCACCACCATCTGAGCCTGGGGGCGGGGGGTTCCTCGTGCCCTCAGATGGCTGGGACGGCAGAGCTGGGGTGGGACCCTAGGGACCAGACCTTGACACAGCCCCAGTGCCTTTCAAGCACGGACGAGGGTGAGCCGGTGCCGAGTGAAGGAAGGGCCTTGAACAGAAGGGGTCCAGCGCCTCCCCGGGTCCTGCTCCCGGTCCGGGGGCCGAGCCAGCAGCCCCCACAGTGTCCCTCCGGCTGGCTGTGGCTGCTTCCTGACCTGCCCCTTCTCTTTCCCTTTAGTCCGAGGTCCAAACTGCCTGTGGTTCGTCCCAGGGGCTCCTGGATTTTCCCACCCATTTCAGGGGGCCAAAGCCTCCCAGACAACCTTGGCTCAGGGCTGACTGCTGCCAAACTTGACCCACTGAATCCCGCGGTGCTTTCTCGCACTTCCTTGCTCTGTCGGCTGAGGGAGCCCCAGACTCAGCCGTGAGGCCCATGTGGGGCTGACCTTCAAGGAGCCTGTGGAAACACACGTGTCCTAACGGGCTGTACCAGCACCCGTGGCAGACATTACCTATCTATTCTGGACTCACAGATCTAGGCGGGCACCATACAGATACTACTGATGGGTTCTGAGATTCTCTGACTACCCAATACTTGTGCCCCAGGCCCATGCGGCGGCTGGAGCTGCTGTGAACAGTCTTTAAAAACCAGGTTATGGTAAGAGGCACAGGAGGGATGGCTGTTCATGCTGGGGTCTGAGCCGGTGGGAAAGCCGTGTGTCCAGAGGCGAGGCAGTGTTCACTGCAGGAAACAAAGGGAACTCTAGGGAGGGGACGAGCCCCAGACGGAAGCACCTCCTGCCTCAGCATCGAGGGGCAGTCCCTGTGGCTTGTCCCAGCCCACAGCTTTGCTGGGTTAAAGGCACGCCAAGTCTCTCCCCAGCTGGGTCCTCGGGGGCCGTGTCTGGTCTACTCTGTCTTTGAGGCCCCCGTATGGTCCGCATGTCCCTGGGCTCACAGGCGCTGTGGGTAAATCTTCCCGGGCTTGACCGGTGGCTGTCGTTTGCTGGAGAGGCCACATAAGTGGGCTGAGGAGATCCAGGTGTGGGGCGGGCAAGAACCCCTTCAGCTGGGTTGGAAATCGCTGTGTGAGTGCTGAGTCCGGGTCCTGTGAATTACACACAAAGTTAATACAATGGGAAAGGACTCCCCTCCCTCCCTGCTCTGTCTCTGCCTCCTTCCAAACTTGCCCTTGTTTGCCAGGACCCGAGGAGAGGGGGGCATTGCTGAGAGGCTCCCAGCCCCAGCAGAGCAGGCCGCCTGCCCTGCGGGGAGTCTCGAACCTGCCTGCCACTAGAGAGCGAGTTCCTTAAGAGCTGTCCCTCACCGGGCACCCGCACGTGGCCCACGGCCCGGGAAATTAGTTGGGCGTCTGAAGGAAAGCTGGTGACAGTTCACAGAGTTGCCAGCCCCAGCCTCCAGAGAGAGGGAAGGATGGGTTGGCCGGGAGCCCTCACCGCGGGTCCGGGTCGGGAGCGCTGAGATGGGGAGGATCTCGGAGGCCAGAAGCGGCGGCTGGACTCTGCCGTCCCGGCTCCTGACCCCCTCCATTGGTCTCCCTGCATCCCGCCTCCCGGTCCCACTCGAGTGAGCTGCTGCAGACCCAGCGTGCGGGGCAGGCGGCGCGGAGCCCTCGGACCTGCGCCCTCAAAACCCGCGTCCCATCCGCCCCTCCCTCCGCCCCCCCCCCAAGATCCTTGGTCCTAGGCGCAGGCCTCAGGCGGGGGACGCCAGCCCCAGTTACCGCTTCGGAAAGTGCCAAGCGCGCACCGCGCCAGGACAGATCGCCGCCCGCCAACGCCCCCCCCACCCCCGCCCCCGCAGCCCCTCCGTCCACGCCCGGCTCCTCCTCCTCCTCCTCCTTCCCCAGGGGTGGGGGGAGCCGTCTCCGGAAGCCCCAGCGCCCCCGCCCCGGCCGCCACTGGAGCTTTGGAGAGGCGGTCCGCGCGGGAGCGCGCCACGCGGGGCCGGAGCTCCCAGCCGCCACCAGCGCCGCAGAGGTCCCCGGCCACCCCTGAGCCCCCACTCTCCCCGAGCCACTGCCTGGCCCGGAGCCCTCTCGCCCCACCCCGGATCTTCCCGCCCGCTCCCTCCCGGAGCCCTCCACCGACCCCGGAGCCCCGGCCCACGCGGGACCCCTCTACCGCCCCTCCCCAGAGTCCCCGGCCCCCCCACCCCGGGGCCCCCCACGCCCCTGCCCCCCACGCGAGTCCCGGCCATGGCGGCCGTGCGCGGGGCGCCCCTGCTCGGCTGCCTCCTGGCGCTGCTGGCGCTGTGCCCCGGGGGGCACCCGCAGACGGTGCTGACCGACGACGAGATCGAGGAGTTCCTCGAGGGTTTCCTGTCGGAGCTGGAGCCGGAGACCCGGGAGGACGACCTGGAGGTGCCGCCGCCCCCCGAGCCCACCCTGCGCGTCCGCAAAGCCCAGACGGGAGACAAGCCGGGGGCGCGCCCGGGGGTAGCCAAAGAGGGTAAGATCCCCAGGGGCGTGCGGGGGTGGGGGAGAGGGTTGGTCCACTTCGGGATGGGGGGCCTCTGGGCTCCCCTCGTCTCAGGTGACAAGGGCAGGCCCTGGCAGGGGTTTGGCTGCTGTCCAGTCTGCTCCGTGAGGCCCAGGAGAGCCCAGATGTCTGGCAGGAGACTGCGCCAGGCAGAGGTCAGGGCTGGCTTCAGCCCTCTGGGCATGGAGACATATCCAGCAAGTCTGCTGCCTCACGGTTCCACCCTCCCGGTCCCTCACCCCCAGCCCCCCCCCCCCCCCCCCCCCCCCCCGCCCCCCCCGCCCCCCAGAAGGACGAGCATTGAGCCACCTGGGGACTTGGCTGCCCCCTCCCCAGGTCTGTCCTGTGAGCTGCCCTCATGTGGTCCTGGGGCCTGTGTGTGGCACACCCTGGCTGTGCCCACGCCACCCCCCAGAGTCCCAGCCTCAGACCTCCCTTGGGAGGGCTCCAAGCAGCCTCCTGCCCAGCCTCCTGTTCCAAGAGCGCAGAGGTAGGTGAGGGGGCTGCGGGGAGCCGTGGGCAGCGCCCTGCCCTCTCTGGACAGTGCATTCACCGCCCTGAGCATCACAGGGCATGCAGCCCAGGGCTTCTTACATAATCAGTTGTCAATAAATCTCATGTGTTTGTGGTGACTTTCTGGAGGGGGGCAAGGGTCCTGTTGATCTCTCTCTCCCAGGAGACTCCAGGCACCATCCATCATTCCTGAGGTCAGCAGCCCCTCCCCTGTGTCCTCTTCTAGATCTTTCTTGGCTCCTTCCCCACCCCTTGGGGGGCGGATCCTAGGACCCAACATGGCCTCCCTTCCCCACCTCTACTCCCCATTCCAGGCTTGCTGTCCTGGCCTCCTGGATGCCGCGGTGGCAGCCCTGCTTCTCCCGACTGTGTGCATTCTGTAAATTTTTCTGTGTTTAGGCCTCGGGCCACCAGCCGCATCGCACTTTCTCAGGGGCCAGGAGGACTCCCACAGAGTGCCCCGTGCCGCGCTCCTGTTTCCTCCCCCAGACTCTGACAGGGCAGCGTCAGTGCCTGCCTGTCCTCCTGTCCCCCTGGACCCTCTCTTGGTTAGAGCAGCCAACCTACACCAGACCCCTTACTTCTTAAAACGGGCACGAGTGACCTTTTTCTTGCTCTGCAGGGAGTTTCAGGGAGGCCCCAGGACCTGGCCCTTGACTCTGTGATAGTTGGCGGGGATGAGACCTCCTTCCCCTTTAGACCGGGCACTCCCCCATGCCTGGATGGCTCAGTTGCCTCTCTGTCCCTTCTGTGCCCCACACAGTATAACGCCCCCTGGTCAGCTGAGTGGATGCATGGGGAAGGAGAACATGGTGACGGGCCTCTGTTGAGTTTAAGCAGGTGGGAGGGTGAGGGCCTGCTTCCCCCGGCCAAGCTGCAGTGTTGGCGGCTGAGAGCTGCGGACCAGAAGCCTGGGTTCCTATCCCAGCTCTGCCACAAGGGCGAGCTACTTAACCTCTCTGTTTCCCAATCCAAGAAACACGGGACCAGCAAGAGCTGCTGTGCCCTGGTTGTGGGCACCTTGGGGGCTCCGTGAGGTACGGAGTGAAGTCTCCATTGATCTGACGTAAGTCTGCGTTTGTGACAGCACCTCTGGACAAGGCCAAAGACAAAGGGAAGAAAGGGAAGAAGGACAAAGGCCCCAAGGCCACCAAGCAGCCCCTGGAGGGGTCCCTCAGGCCACCCAAGAAACCCAAGGAGAAGCCACCCAAGGCCACCAAGAAACCCAAGGAGAAGCCACCCAAGGCCACCAAGAAGCCCAAGGAGAAGCCACCCAAGGCCACCAAGAAGCCCAAGGAGAAGCCACCCAAGGCCACCAAGAGGCCCTCGACTGGGAAGAGGCCCCCCACTCCCACCCCCTCAGAAACCCTGTGGTGGCCACGGCCCCTACCCCCAAGCCCCGGCCCCGAGGAGCTGCCCCAGGAGGGAGGTGTGTGCAGGCTCTCCTGGGGTTGTGGGGTTCTGACTGCTAGGCAACTGGGAGGGGGAGGGCGTCCCTAGGTCCCTGCTTCCTGCAGACAGATCTGAGGGCCACTCAGGGTTGGCCCCGTAGACTTCTTGTTGTCACGAATGTAGCCATTTGGTTGGACCTCCCTTGGGGCGGCTGCCTCCCTTGGGTAGGGGTGGCCTTATGGATGGGGTTTGATCTCCAGTATCCTGGATCTGTCCCCTGGGCCCCACTTGGATCCCTTCTCCTGTGTGTTGTGGGGCCCTCGGCCTTTGGGGTGCCCCCCTGCTGGGGCCTGGGCTCCCCAGAAAACCCTCCAGTTCTCCGGCGCCAGGAGACGCCAACTGGGTGCTGAAGGCCAGAGCCGTCCAGGCCTCCTGGGAGTGAGCTCAGGCTTCCAGGAGCTGTCGGCATGGCCTAGGTCTCGTGGGCGCTCCCTGTACGAGCCGCGGTCAGGGTGGGCTTCCCGTCCACTGGCATGGGGGCTTTGTGTTTGCAGGTGGGGCCCTCCCAGGTCCTTGGCTGGATCCAGGAGAAAAAACTGACTTGGAGCGCCAGTCTGGTGAGTGGGCGATGTCCCCCCGGGCTTGGGGGACCCGCTGCCTAGGCTGGCTGGGTTTCTAGGGTGGGCCTGGGGAGGGGCATCAGTGAGTGTCTTCCACAAGCCAGCCATGAGCACTTCCCCCAGAGCCGGAAGAGGAGACCGAGCCGCCCACCCTGGACTACAACGACCAGATAGAGAGGGAGGACTACGAGGACTGTGAGTGGCCCCCCTGCCCCCGTCCGGATCCACACCCCTGGACCCGGGTCCACCGAGGGTCAGCCCACCCAGAAGCCCTGTCCTCCCAGCCCCGCTGCCTTTGAGGGGGGCCCTTGGACTGGCTCAGAGCCCACCCTCCCCCTCAGTTGAGTACATCAGGCGCCAGAAGCGGCCCCGGCCACCCCCCACCAGGAGGAGGCCCGAGCGGCCCTGGCCGGAACGCCCGGAAGAGAAAGCCAAGCCACCCGGGCCCGGACTGGAGGCCCCGGAGGAGAGGATCGGTAGGATGGGGACCCCGGGGGGCGGGGGGGTTGCCCTGCGCGGGGGCTCTGGGCCCACCCCTGCCTCCCACCTCCACAGAGCCGCCTCCAAAGCCGCTGCCGCCGCCCCTGCCCCCTGACTACGGGGACGGCTATGTGATCCCTCACTATGACGACAGTGAGTGCCCGGCCCGGCCCGCCACGCCCCTGCTTCCTGTGCTTTCTGTGGGAGTTGCCTTGCCACGGGTCCTGCCACTTGAAGCCCCCCGGCTCCCATCACCGCGCAGGACTCCAGCTCCTTCTGGGCGGTCACCGTCCTCTCCCTCTTGTGCCTGTGTCCACGGGGGCCTGAAAAGGTCCCTGTCCTTTCCCTGCCCCCAGGTCCCCACCAATCCCTCCTACTGACCCTTGGCCCCCGCTCAGCCCCCACTCAAGAACAGCCCCTCCTGGCTATAGGCATCTGGTGTCATTCAAGGTGTGTCCTGTGTGCGCCCCACTCCCTGCCCAGGACTCCATGGCTCACCTTTCTCCAAGCCATGCCCTCCTGAGCCAGGCTGGTGACTTCCCCGGCTCGGGCTCACCCTACCTGTGCCTAGACGGCCTCTCCTCCAGGAGACCCTCCCTACGCATCCCTGCCTACCTGGATTCCTCAAGGCCCACCCTGATCCCGCCTCCTCCTGCTCTCCCTCCTGCGTGGTCCTGCTGGCCAGGCTCCTGTGGACCCAGGAGCTCTGGCCTACAGAGGGGGCCCTGGGGCCAGCACCTGGGCCACAGCAGGGCTCTGCCTCCCCACAGTGGACTACTACTTCGGGCCTCCCAGACCCGGGAAGCCCCACACTGAGCTGGAGACAGACGAGGAGAAGGAGGAGCTGAGTGAGTGCAGCCGCGTCGCTCCCCCCCGCGGCCTGACCCCCGAGCAGCCCCCCAGTTCCCCCCGTGGCCTGACCCCCGAGCCCCCCAGCCCTGCAGGCCCGACCCCGGGCCCCTCGCCCTCTGAAGCCCAGGGCTAAGATGGCTTCTACCTTCCATTACTCAGAGAAACCCAAAAAGGAGGGCAGCCCCAAGGAGGACGAGAAGGATGACAAGTGGAGTGTGGAGAAGGGCAAGGACCACAAAGGTGTGCGTCTGGGGCTGGACTCACTGCCCGGGCATCTGTGAGAGCGCGCGTGCACCGAGACCCAGGACCCTCTGCACCATGTCTCCCTTTGTTGCCTCCAGGGCCCCGGAAGGGTGAGGAGCTGGAGGAGGAGTGGGCTCCGACCGAGAAAGTCAGTGAGTGAGGGTCCTGGGGGCTGCAGGGGGCTGGAGAGCAGGTGTGGGGGTTGGGGGTGGGGAGGCTGGGGTATGTGGGGATGGGTGTGTGAGTGTGGGGAGTCTGCAGTAAGGTGGGTGCGGGTATATGTGGGGGCTGGGGATTGAGGAGGCTGTGAAATGTTGTGGAGGCTGGTATATGTGGGGGCTGGGGTATGTGGGGGGCATGGTATGTGGGGGTGCTGGTGTGTGTGGCCTGGTGTATGTGAGGTCTGTGGACTGGGGGGCTGGGGACTGTGTGGGGAACTGGTGTATGTGGGGGGCTGGAGAGTATGGGGGATTGGGGGTGGTGTATGGGGGGAGGTTGGTGTATGTGGGGGGCTGGTGTATGTGGGGAGGCTGGGGAGTGTGGGGGTTGTGGGGGCTGGGGTCCATGCAGTGGCAGCAGGGTAAGGATGCTGAGCAGACGACCCAAAGCCATGCGTGGGTCCCAAACCTGGAATTCCCGATGATGCTCCAGGCCTCCATAACCCTTTCCTGCTCTTAAAATCTTGGGACCCAGGAGGGACAGGTCCTGGAGTATCTCTTCCCTGGGATCACCCTCCGGGGATAGAACTCACAGCACAAGGCAGTATGCAGGAGGCCCTGAAGCGGGTGGTGGCTGGGAGGGGCTGAACTCCATGCCTGCCGTTCCCTGTAGTTTCACGTGAGCCCCAGGGCCCTTTGGAGACAGCATCACCCGCCAGTTCTCGGGAGGAGGAAGCTGAGCCCCAAGGAGGGGAAGCACAGGCTGGGGTGCGGCTGCCCTGACGAGCGTCCCCTGATGCTCGGGCACGGGCTCTGGGCTCCTCGTTCTGGAATTCGGGAGGGAGTGGAAGAGCCATTGGGCCACCAGCCTTGGGTGCCATGTCCCTAGAGTGTCCCCCCATTGGGATGGAGTCCCACCGCATCGAGGACAACCAGATCCGGGCCTCGTCCATGCTGCGCCACGGCCTGGGCGCCCAGCGAGGCCGGCTCAACATACAGGTGGGTGTCAGGGTCGCCCGTCTTGCAGCTGGCCCGGGGGCTCTTCCCCCTGCTCATCCCACCCACCCCCCACAGGCTGGGGCCACCGAGGACGACTACTACGATGGGGCATGGTGCGCTGAGGATGACGCTCAGAGACAGTGGATTGAGGTCGACACCAGAAGGATCACCAAGTTCACGGGCGTCATCACCCAGGGCCGTGACTCCAGCATCCAGTACGTCAGCCAGACTCCCAGACACTTCTCGAGGGGTGGATGGCCCCGGGCACAGGACTGCGTCCCACACAGGATGTGCCACGCCCAATCCTCGTGGATGAGCAGATCACCCACCCGTGGCACATAGCGGGCGTGGGAACCACTCTTGCCGCCCAGGGCGAGCTCCACACGCCCCTGCCAGCTCCTGAGGCCCCAGGACATGGGGTAGGGAGAGCAGCCTTGCCCTGACCGCCATCTGCCCCCCAGTGACGACTTCGTGACCTCCTTCTTCGTGGGCTTCAGCAACGACAGCCAAACGTGGACCATGTGCACCAATGGCTACGAGGAAATGGTGGGCGCCTGAGCTCATGGCTCTGCCCTGGCGTTGGGACTGGGAGCGGCTCTTGGCAGGGATGGGGGGGCTGCTCTGAGCCCAGCCTCTCCCCAGACCTTCCATGGGAACGTGGACAAGGACACGCCCGTGCTGAGCGAGCTCCCGGAGCCAGTGGTGGCCCGCTTCATCCGCATCTACCCTCTCACCTGGAACGGCAGCCTGTGCATGCGCCTGGAGGTGCTGGGGTGTCCCATGACTCGTGAGTGCAGGGGGCCGGCGGCAGCCGGGTGGGGGACTGGCCGGGGTGGAGGGGCTGGCCGGTGGCCCGCTCAGGGCCCCGGCCGCCTGCTGCAGCTGTCCACAGCTACTACGCACAGAACGAGGTGGTGGCCACCGACAACCTGGACTTCCGGCACCACAGCTACAAGGACATGCGCCAGGTGAGGGCCTGTCCCTGGGTCAGCGCGGGGCGGGGAGAGGCTGTCCGGCGACTGGGGTCAGGGCTCCCAGATGCAGCCTGCCTGAGAGGGGGGTTGGCTGGCCCTTGCCTCAGGCAGGGGAAAACTGCAGGCCGTCTCCCTCTGGTGCTGGTCCCCGAGAGGAGCTGGTGTCGCCCGCAGGGGCCACTCCCACCACAGAGGCCTTCCCCACGGAACAGACCGGGGTGGTGGGAGAGGCCTGGCACTGCCTGCGTGCGGGGCTGCCTCTGCGGGTGTGGGGTGTGTAACTCGGTGTCCTCTCCCGCGCCCAGCTGATGAAGGTGGTGAACGAGGAGTGCCCCACCATCACCCGCACGTACAGCTTGGGAAAGAGCTCACGCGGGCTCAAGATCTATGCCATGGAGATCTCAGACAACCCTGGGGATCACGAGCTGGGTGTGTGCCCCAAAACCCCCTGGAGGCCTGCCCTCCCTGGCATTGCAGCTGGTCCCTGTGCCTATCTCAGAGCCTCTCTGGGAGTCCCAGTCTGCCTTTTTGGGCCCAGCAAGCCTCAGCTGCCCCCATCCCCCTGGGCGGGTGCTTCCTCTGGGGCCCGGGAGGTTACTGAGGCTCCTGCCTTTGCAGGGGAACCTGAGTTCCGATACACGGCTGGGATCCATGGCAATGAGGTGCTGGGCAGAGAGCTACTGCTGCTTCTCATGCAGTACCTGTGCCGCGAGTACCGGGACGGGAACCCCCGTGTGCGCAGCTTGGTGCAGGACACGCGCATCCACCTGGTGCCCTCGCTGAACCCCGACGGCTACGAGGTGGCAGCGCAGATGGTGGGTGAGGGAGCAGACGCTGGGCTGGCAGGTGGGGGTGACAGGGCGGGGGGTGACAGGCTGACACCAACCCCGCTGGTTCCTCCAGGGCTCTGAGTTTGGGAACTGGGCAATGGGGCTGTGGACTGAGGAAGGTTTTGACATCTACGAGGACTTCCCAGATCTCAACTCTGTGCTCTGGGGAGCAGAGGAGAGGAAATGGGTCCCCTACCGGGTCCCCAACAACAACCTGCCCATTCCCGAACGCTACCTCTCCCCAGATGCCACGGTGAGGCCACAGCCTGGCTAGCAGGCCTAGGGGAGCAGCCTAGACCCTGGGGTCCTGAGCTCTGGACTTGGGGGTGGGCTGGTGGGGGACTGAGGTTGGGACTGGGGGCACAGAGGGGGCTTGAATATGGGGGTGCATTCTGCAAGGGGGATGATGGCAGCTGTGTCTCCAACCTCACGCACTGGCCACCCCCAGGTGTCCACAGAGGTCCGAGCCATCATTGCCTGGATGGAGAAGAACCCCTTTGTGCTGGGGGCCAACCTGAACGGTGGTGAGCGTCTCGTGTCCTACCCCTACGACATGGCCCGGACCCCCACCCAGGAGCAGCTGCTGGCCGCGGCCATGGCAGCTGCCCGGGGAGAAGATGAGGACGAGGTGTCTGAGGCCCAGGAGACCCCGGACCACGCCATCTTCCGCTGGCTGGCCATCTCCTTCGCATCTGCCCACCTCACAATGACAGAGCCGTACCGGGGAGGGTGCCAAGCACAGGATTACACCAGCGGCATGGGCATCGTCAACGGGGCCAAGTGGAATCCCCGGTCTGGGAGTAAGTCAGCCCGGGAGGGGCCGGGCTGGGGCGTCTGGCGGGGCCCGTGGGTGACTGCGGCTCTGTCTGTCCCTGCGTAGCCATCAACGACTTCAGTTACCTGCATACCAACTGCCTGGAGCTCTCCATCTACCTGGGCTGCGACAAGTTCCCCCACGAGAGTGAGCTGCCCCGAGAGTGGGAGAACAACAAGGAGGCTCTGCTCACCTTCATGGAGCAGGTGGGGTGGGCGCTGGCCTGGGCTGGGGTCGGGAGCTCACGGGAGCTGCGTGGGGCCTGCAAGGGGAACCCGGCCTCGTGTCCCTCTGTAGGTTCACCGGGGCATCAAGGGGGTTGTGACGGATGAGCAGGGCATCCCTATCGCTAACGCCACCATCTCTGTGAGCGGCATTAACCACGGCGTGAAGACAGGTACCTCATGCGCACGGGGCCGCCCCTCCTGCCTGAAGCGGGGGCCAGATCTGTGCGAGGTCTCCCGCGGCTCCACCCCCCACCCCAGGGTCCGCGGGAGGCGGAGGGAGGGCTGGGGGCTGGGCTCGCACGTCTTGGGCAGCAGCGCCGGCCTCCCTCTGCAGCGAGCGGCGGCGACTACTGGCGCATCCTGAATCCCGGTGAGTACCGCGTCACGGCCCACGCTGAGGGCTACACCCCCAGTGCCAAGACCTGCAACGTGGACTACGACATCGGGGCCACCCAGTGCAACTTCATCCTGGCGCGCTCCAACTGGAAGCGCATCCGCGAGATCATGGCCATGAACGGGAACCGGCCCATCCCGCGCATCGACCCCTCACGCCCCATGACCCCCCAGCAGCGGCGGATGCAGCGGCGCCGCCTGCAGTACCGGCTGCGCATGCGCGAGCAGTTGCGGCTCCGGCGCCTCAACTCCACTGTGACCCCTGCCCCCGGTACCCCCGGGACGGCCGCGCCCCCCACCTCCGCCACACTGCCCCCCAGGCCCTCGCTCACCCCCTCCCCCACCCCCAGCGCCAGCCTGGGGCCCTGGCCCTTTGAGCCCGAGGCCACCACGGTGGGCTGGGAGGAGTCGGAGACGGAGACCTACACAGAGGTGGTGACGGAGTTTGGGACTGAGCTGGGGCCGGAGGAGGAGGATGACCAGGAGGAGGACCAGGAGGAGGACCACGAGGAAGACCACGGGGAGGAGGAGGTGGTGGTGGTCATGGGCCCAGATTTCCCTTTCACTACAGCCGAGACCTACACAGTGAACTTTGGGGACTTCTGAGCACGGGGAAGCCCCCTCGGGGTCACCGGGCCGGGAGGGGACGCGCACGGGGCAACACTGAGGAGCCAGGCTGCTTTGGACGGTCAGGGCGCTGCAGGGCCCCGGGCGCACGGACTCCTCAGCCATCTGCCCCGACAGCCGCACCAATAAAGCAAGCTCACGGCAGACACACGTGTTGCAGAGTACTGGGGGAGGGTGGAGGCGGGAGGAGGGGGAGGGAGAGCGGCATGCCCCGCCAGGGCCCTGGGCCGGCCTCATCTCTGCCTGGGGCTCAACACCAGCACACTGGTCAGGCTTTGTTTTAAAGACTTTATTCATTTTAGAGAAAGAGAGTGCGCAGGGGGAGGGGCAGAGAGACGCGCAAGCCGACTCCACAGCCAGTGCGGAGCCCCACATGGGGCTCCATCTCACGCCCCTGAGATCAGACCTGAGTCAAGATCAAGACGTGGATGCTCCATGGGCTGAGCGCCCCAGGCGTCCCAATCAGGCTTTTCTTAAGAAACAAATGCCGCTCCTGGGTCAGTGTCACATGGAACAGATAGTCGGGGTCTCTGAGTCAGGGGCCCAGGCCCAAGCCCCCCAGGTCCTCGTCCTCTGCCCCAAAGCCCGAGAAGCTGATGGGCTGGCAGGCCAGGCTACGCAGATTGACAAGGCAGGCAGTCTGCGTGGCGCTGAAGTCGGGGACGGCCACCAACAGCACCCTCTGGTCCTCTGGTCCTGTGAAGAAGACACACGGGCACTCCCATTAGGTTCTGGGTGGGCCCTGGCTAACAGAAGTCACCAGAAGCAAACAAGAATTCCCCATGAGCCTTGTCGGGGTGCTGGCCAGAGAAGCCCCTTTGGACCAGACGGGAGGGCCGAGGGCAGCAGGAAGGTCAAAGTCTGGAGCCCTGCTGACCAGAGGTGGGCAGTGAGCCTGCTGCACAGGTGCGGACTGATCAGCCCCTGCCCGGATATGCTCAGTCAGCTGCCCACAGGGCCCGGGGACTCCAGGGAGGTCTCCTCTGTGCGCCCTGTCCCCAGGACAGGGTCCCTCGTGACACCCCAGGCCCGGGGTGCCCAGAAGGCAGAACTCACCTCGGAAGATTTTAGAGCCAAACTCAGGAGTGTTCCCGCAGAAGTAGACGTGAGGGCACTCCGGGAAGATGAATGGGTCGGTCTTGTAGAAGGGGTAGCAACCTGGAGGAAGCCCACAGCGGCTGGAGCTTCTCAGCTCTGCACAGTGCCTGGTCAGGGGGTGGCGCCCCAGCCCGGTCCCTCATACTTGCTCGGGCTGTGCTGGTAGCAGCCCTGCTCATTGTGCCACAGCCCCATGGCCCTGGGGTCAGGTCAGCGTGCCCTGCTGGGTAGCCACTGTGGTAGGGCGCCAGGCTCTACCCAGAGCTCCCAATATGCTCCCCAGGGTCTTTGGCCCTACACAGCGCCTTGACGGTGGACAGCCCAAAGATTCCAGGGGAGATTCCAGAACTAGCGTCAAGCTTTCGGGGTTTCCCTGAGGTCATGGCAGGGCTGGTGAGTGCCAATCCAGGCTGCGAACCCTCTGGACATCGAGGCCCCGGAACAGGACTCCCTGGGCCCTCTGGCCCCACCTCACGTGGCTGAGTCCCATTACCTAGTGTGTCTGGGGCTGTGGGGCTGATGTGACGGACACGCAGGGTCCACTCCAGGATCTCTAGGTGATTCTCCATGCTGCTGTACCGGAAAATGTCACTCACGTTTTGTCCTGATGTCCCCAGGAATCTGCAAGGCAGGGCTCAGCTGATCCCCGCACAGGGCCGCCGCCTGTGATCCCACAGGACCTGGCCCCAGCCCACCCGGCGCTCTCTCGGTGGGGGTCCCAAGCTCTTTCTGAGAAAGAGCCCAGATCTGCTGGGCCCTCTGCAGCCCTGGACCCAACCCTCCCATCTCGGTGCCACTGAGGCCCGAGGCCAGGTGTCAGATGGGGGTGTGGCTACGGCTACCTGACTCCCTCTATGGTGGCCTGGTAGGGGTTAGTGACCAGCTGGAGCGTGGCGTAGGCGGTGGCCAGTGGGAACATACAGGGGTGCAGGGGTTGCTGGGGCAGCGTGTAGTTGGTCGGGTCGAATTCACCGGGCATCACGTCCACGGGCACCGACGCCTGCAGGGCACAGGGGCAGGGGAGCTTACCCAGGGCTCTCCAAAGCCCCCCTCCTCCCCTGCCCCGGCCCACCTGCCGGTGCCCGCTGCGCAGACCCCAGTCCCGTCCCCGGCGGCCCCCAGCTCGCTCACGCTCAGCTGCAGCAGGATCTCGTCCAGCATTCTGACCGCCTCCACACTGGCTGCCTGAGTCTTCTTGGTTAAGTATTTGGCCTGGGGATAGAAGTCCACAGGCTGTCAGGCCCCGAGACAGGCTAGGGTCGAAGGGACACTCAGAGACCTGGCTGGACAGTGGAGAGCAGAGGCCCACTGCTTGGGGATGGTAGGGGTTCTGTGCCACGGGGTCCCCCGCCCTCAGAAAGCAGGGCTGGAGCAGAGACCGCAGCATCACTGCGAGGCACTGGCCACCAGATGTGCGAAACCCCACACCCCGACTCTCCCTGGGGAAGGAGGGGCTCAAGTGCAGGCCGGTGGGCGGGCGTGGACAGTACCTTGTTGATGGAATCTCTGCTCTGGGTGTTGTGGCTCAGCAGGTTCCCGGCGAGGATGACCCGGGACACGTGGGCGGCGCTGCATTGCTCCCCCTCGTCCCCCAGCTGCCCTGTCACCACGTCCACCAGCAGCTGGGTGCCCAGCAGGCTCTCGCCCCCACCTCCACCCAGGCCCAGACCAGACACCAGCAGCACAAACCTGCAGGGGAAGTCAGGGTCCTCCTGTGCACCCAGAGGGTGGGAGTCCCACTGATGCCCCCAGCCCAGCCCCTGGCAGAGCTCTGCCACCGTCATGGGCAAGTAGAGGACATGGAGCCTGGCAACCATGACCCCCCCGGAACACCAGCCAGACCCCTGAGCACCTGCTCCTCACCTGTCTGTGTCAAGGGGGGGTGCGGGCTTCTGAGGGGCGAGCTCTGCAAAGCAGTGGTCCTCTACCACGAACTTGCCACTGTCTCTCGCAGAGCCGAGCACAGCCAGCACTGTCCCTGGGGAGCAGCAGTGTCAGGCTCCAGGACGGAAGCCCGAGAGGCTACCACCTCCTTTTAGGCACCCCTGGGGCAAAACCAGCTAGGTCCCTTCTGCCACACCAGAACATTCTCAGAGGATTCAGGACCGAGTCCTGGGGTCACCACCTCTGGGTGTAGGCAGGAACCACCGAGCCCCTCCCTGGGCCTCCGCTCCGGGGAGGAAGGGCTACACCCGCAGCCACAGGTGTGGGCCAGCCCCTCCCGCCCCCACCTGTGACAAGCCTTGACGCGTCGACATCGCCTTCCAGTCTGATGCGCTGCAACTCGTCTTCCAAGACCAGCTCGTCGTCGGGGTGGATGTACTTGCTCCGAGGAGGCTGAGGGAGCAGGTTGTGCTGGACGGCAGAGATGGGAGGGAGTTGTGGGGCCAGAGGCCAGGTCCTAAGGCTCCCAGGCCCCATCAGTGAGATTCTGGGACTGCAGCCCCCGGACCGCCCCCACCCAGGACAGAGGCCCAGCCCTGATTCCCTGAGTCCACAGCTGGTGGTCCCGACGGTGCTCCTGGAGCAGCGGCCAACCTCACCTCTTCGCTGATCTCGCGGAGGATGGAAGGCTGGAGCGGCATGGCCTTGAAGAGGGTCCCCACCACACAGCACTTCTCCCCCGGCTGCAGCTCACACAGCTTCTTTACCTGGACTCCATCACCTGGGCACGACGGCACGGGCTCAGGGACCCAGTGGCCTCCCCGCCCACCACGCAGCAGCCCACAGGCCGGCCTCTGCAGGGAAGGAGACCACCAAATACAGAGACCCCCTGACACGAGCAGCCTCGGCCCCAGGAAGACAGAAAGATGTGGCGGGGCCCCCACGTCCCACGTCCTCATAAGAAAGACGCTCAGAGACAGGAGCACGGCTGCTGCCAGAAATGGGGAGAGCCGAGGAGGAGGTGCTCCTGGCCGGCCAGCACCTGCATTCAGACTCCTGGTCTCCAGGATGAACAGGGAATACGGGTCTGGTGTGTTAAGCTGCTCGTTTGTGACCATGCCGTCCGTGACAGCACGAGCAACCAGGAAACTGACACGGAGCATTACGTCACTTGCACCAAAACCGTAACACTCACTCTTAGACAGAAGCACCCTGCCCTAAAAACTGGAGAAGCTCGGTGTGCAGCGCTCACCCAGGCAGGCGAGAGGAAGGAGCACAAGTCCCAGAGGGCCTGTGGGTTTGTCAGGAAAGACCCGGAGCCTGGGAAAAATGCTGCTGGGAGCTGAAGGGATCATGTGGCCGCAGGACCAGCCCTTTCCGGAGCCCAGCTGCCCCTTCTGCCCCAGAGTCACTGAGAACATTCCACAGAGCTGCGCCCTGGGGAGAAGAGGCTAGTAGTTCAAGACGAGGTAAGGAGAGTGCCAGCAGCTGAAAGAGAAATGCCAGAGACGCACGGAGACAACAAACTCCGGAGCCGGACTGCCGAGCCCTCGCTCCACACCGAGCACTGTCCTTGAAACTCATCCGCGCCTGCCAACACGCAGGGTAGACGCTACTGCCCCATCACACGCTTGAGGCAGCGGAGGCACAGAGAGGTTAAGTGACAGTTCAAGGTTGCACAGCTGGAATCCACTGTGCACACCTAAGCACCAGGCAGAACCGCACATCCCTGCGTCGAGGGCAGGACACGTGTGCAGCTGGATGGCATGCGGGCATCGGGCCAGGCACCAGCATCGGGAGTGAACGGCATGGCCCATCCTCATCCTCACCAAGGGTACAACCCAGAGGGAGAGAAACAACAGCAGTCAACAAGGGGTCAGCCCCTGTGACAAGTGCCACGGAGCCATGGGAGCCACAGCAGTGGTGACTGCAAGGCAAAGCCGCACCGGACTGGGTGCTGCTGGAACCTAAAAAGTGGCAGTGACACGGGGCTTGAGGAGGGTGTCCCCAAGAGCTTCAAGGAAGGCAAGGAAAGGCCACCAGAAGCTACAGGAAGGAGACCTCATTCTGTGGCAGAGGACATGCCCATGGCACTTGTGCCTGCGGTAGTGACAATAGAAGATGTCCCTAACACATGTGACGGTCTAGTTCTTGTTGCCTGGAATGACACCAGAGTTGATTCCCCCCGGCTCTGTGGGACAGGCCTGAGTGCCACGGCTCCCCGCAGCCGAGACCCAAGCTGGAGCACCAAGGCCAGGGCTGGGGCCAACACACATGGATGGAAAAGCCCGGTCCCACCTGTAAACATTTCAGATGAAGTGAAAACAGCCCAGAAATCCACTCTGACACACAGTAAGACCAAGGAACGGGGCATCAGCCAGAAGTTGAAACTGCATGTCCTGTCTGCACGACCAATAATGTAACTGCAGGACAGGTCACGGACCAAGTGGAGAAGGAAGATGATGTGTGCTGACAGAAGAGTCCACGGGACCCAACCAAGCTGGAGGGCCCAGAGGAGCAGCGGACAGGGAGCCCCCGAGGCAGGAGGCGTGTCTTCATGGATCTGGGCTCCCAGTGCCAGGTACCTGGCCTGCCCCACGGAGACACAGGGTGGCCACATGCAGGCAAACAAGCACGTATCCTGCTCTCCAGACAAGCACGTATCCTGCTCTCCAGACAAGGAACGTCCCTACACCACTGTTCCCAAGAGAACAAAGCCCACCTCATCCCAGCCTCTGAACTAACAAACCTCCCTTTAAAACCACCGGTTCCTTAATTTAATCCTCGTAACTACCTGAAGAAGCAGCGGAGGCACCAACGGGTTTGCTTTCCCAAGACAACCGGGAAGGGGGGTAAACTAAAGAAGGTCCCAGCTGTATCTGGTCGCTCATCTCTAGAACACCCCCGACACCCGGACCTTTCTGGGCTGGCGGGCAGGAAGCACTTCCCCGAATGCATCACTTACCCCAACGCTGTCTGGCGCGGCTCACCAGGAAGGGCCTCATTTGGAGGAGGCGGGTGGCATAAATGTGGGCGTACTGCCGGCTAAAGCTGCGCTCCCCGAGCCTGAAGGGCTGGGAGGAGTTGGTGTACGAGGACACAGGCACACGGGCAAAGGTGGCATTGCTGGCGGACGGTGGGGAGAGGAGAGTGTGGGCCCTCTGGGCAGCCTGCTCCGAGAACATGATGCGCCAGACGCGTTCAGAATCCCGTGCTTGGGCCCAGGCGGCGGAGGTCACTGTGAAGACACAGATGTAGCCCTGCAGCCCCTGCCCAGCCCATGGCTCTCCCACCATGTCTCCCCTGCACCTGCAGGCATGGAAGGAGGACGCCAGCCCAGACGTGGCTCAGAACAGCCCAGGCTGGACGCCAGCTGGTCACCTTGTCACGCTCATCCGGAACCGAAGATGGGAAGGCTCGGAACGCTTGTCCCACCTGGGGCTGTCCTGACCCTCTCCAAACCAGCAACGCGCTGCCTGCCTCACGCTCTACCTGGACGACCCCCGGCCCTTGCCCCATGTCGGGCACGAGACCATCCTCCCTTTACCTGCGCCCCCAGGAGACACGCCTGTTGGAAACAAACCTACGCCCGCCACCCTCTGCTCGACGGGCCCGTTTCAGTGACCGAGACCCCGAGTCCCTACAACTGCGCTGCCCCCGCCTCTGCCTGCACGTGGCGGCCTCGCTGGCACCCGTCCCCGCCGTCTCGGCTCCCGTCTCACCGTCCGCTCCCCGGGCGCTCACGCGGCCCCCTTCCGACCGCCGCGGCGGGTCCGCGGTCCGCCCTGTGCCTGGGACACGAGCTCCCGCACCGTGGGCAGCGCACGCCTCACGGTCTCTCCTCCTCCGCGTACCGTCCCAGCGCGGCGGCCCGGCACTCGGACCCCGGCTCGGACCCCGCTCAGACCCCGCTCGGCCGCCCCGCTCCCGGCCGCCGCGCTGCCCGCACTAACTTCCGGCCCGAACGCGCGCAGCCGGGCCGCAGCCCCGGAAGGAGCCCCGCCGGCCTCGGGCCGCGCTCTGGCTTCGGCTCTGCGCGTGCAGCAGGGACCCTGCAGGGCCGCGCGCGGACACCGGAGCCCCGGCCCATCCCCCTCCGCCGCCGCCACGCGGGACCGGGATCGCAGGACCTCAATTACCTAGTCGCCGGCCGCGGGCCTCCCGCCGCCTACCGCCAGTCCGCGCTCGCCGCCACGCCCACCTCCGAGCACCGCCTCTCACCAGTGCCCGCCCACCAACGCCTTCTACCAATCGCCGCGCTTTCTGTTCCGTCCGTCACGGCGGGGCCCGCCCACAGACACAGCCTCCCGCCAATCCGGCACGCCGCCCCGCCCACCTCCTCGCCGGGTTCCCGCCAAACTGCGTGCGCCGCCCCGCCCATCTCCTAGCGCTGCCTCCCACCTCCCCCGCGCGCCGCTCCGCCCACCTCCGCCTCCTGCCTGTCCGCGAGCGCCCCGCCTCTGGCCGCGCCCCGGGTTTCCCGGGCTACGCGGGACCGCGGGTGGCGTGGGGCTCGCGCGCTTGCGTGTCCCGAGGAGCGTGCCTGAGGTCAGCCCGCGGAGGGCAGGGCCCGGGACTGGGGTCCGGCACCGCGGAGGAACGCTTCGGGCTGGGGTTAGTGATGGGGCCGCCGACGGGCTGTGGCCCGGCCCCCGCACCGGGGTCTCCCTCACCCCGCAGCCCGCGGCGCCCCGGACGGTCCGGGCGTGTGGGGCGTCCGCGCGGTTGCACCCGTGCAGGGCCGGCCTGCAGCCCTGCGCCCGCCTCGGGGTCCTGCGGCCACAGCGCCGCCGCGTCGCGGTGCCGCCTGCGAGGGCTGAGAGCGCACGGCACGGCGGGACGCGCCCCCGAACCCGAGCCTCTGTCGCCGCGTGAGACGGGGTCGGTCCGGATGTGTGGGGGACGCGCGGGCGCAGGGCTCCCGGCAGGCTTCCGGGCGCGCGGCGGGAAGTCGGTGCGTTTCCTCGCCGAGCCGGGCGGGCGGGCGGGCGGGCGGTCTTCGCGCCGGGGCGTCTGCACGACGCAGGACGGACCCCGGAGCCACCCGGGGGTGCACGGCCCGGAGGCTTCCGAGCGCCTTCCCGGAGCCGCGCGGTCGTCCGCACCATCTGGCCTCACCGCGGCGCCCCGGAGCGCCGCACCTGCTCCCCTGCGCAGCCGCCGTTGGTGCATCTGCCCCCAGGCCTCGGTCTGCCCCCGGGCCTCCGCTCACGTGCCCGCGGACGGGAACCATGCGGTGTCCGTCTTCTCGCGTCTGGTTTATGTCACGATCTCCCAGGTACGTTCGTGCTGGACCGCGCGTCGGAACTTGCGGATTTTCAGGACCAGTAGCGCCGCCTCGTCCATGCAGAGCGCGGTTGTTCGTCCGTCCGCCCGACCGGACACTCAGCTGGTTTGCATTTGCCTTTACGTATTTATGACAGAGACACAGCGGGAGGGAGCACAAGCGGGGGAGAGGCAGAGGGAGAAGCCGGCCCCCAGCTGACCAGGGGGCCCCGTATGGGGCTCGATCCCAGGACCCTGCGGTCATGACCTGAGCCCCCAGGAGCCCTAGCTGGTTTCCTTCTTGGGGCTCATGAATCTCGCTGCTTTGGATGCTGGTGAGCACAATGCGTCAAGGTTTTGGTTTCAGGTTTGGGGTACATACCTCCAGGTGGAATTGGACCAAGTCCACGGTCCTTCCCTGTCAGGTTCCGGAGGGGCCACTGCACTCGTTCCTTCAGGCTCTCCACATCGCGGCCGACACATGGTCTTCGCTGGCGCTCTGCTGGTAGCCGGCCTCGTGGGGTGTGGGGTGCCAGCGCAGTTGGGTCTTATTTGCATGTCCCTGATAATGAGTGATGTTGGACGCCTTTCCATGGGCTTGTTGGCCACCTGTGTATCTTTGAAGAAATTCTCAAGTTCTGTGTCCGTGTTTCCAGTGGGTTATGTTTTTGTTTTTTAATTTCATGAGTGCTTTATATGTTCTGGATGTCAGTGCCTTGTCAGGGATGTAATTTGCAGATATCTTCTGCCATTCCATGGATTTTCCTCTGTTGACGCTGTTTTGTGACACCCACAGTTTTCATTGTATTAAAGTCCCGTCATAACCTGTTCTTCTTTTGGTCTCTTGTCCCTTAGATGTCATATCCAAAAAGTCACTGCCAAATCCATGGCTTCTTCCCAGAGTTTTACAGTCGTGGCTCTTAGATTTAGGTCTTTGATTCACGTATGATTAGTTTTTATATATGGCTTTACGTAAGGTTTAACTTCTTTTGTTTGCGTGGAGCTATCCAGTTTTCCCAATGCCATGTTGGAGCAGTTAGGCCTTTACCGTATTAAAGCATCGCTCTTCTTTATCAACTGTGGGTCAGGAGGGCCATGTGTACGGACATCCTGTGACTGCCCCAAAGTTCGAGAATCAGTGAGGCCCCCAGGGGGCGCATCGGAGATGTAGAGGCCAACCGCAAAGCTTTCTAAGGCCAAGGTATTTGGAAGGTCTTCACAGATTTTTGCCAGTTGAGTCCTAACAGTGCTGTTAGCGCATCTTATTAACCCCGAGGACTGTGAGCCTCGTATGCACATGTAAAGCCAGTCAGACCGCACAGACGTGACTGGGGGTTCCCTGATAACCATCAGGCGTGAGAGGGGTTCCCTAGGTGGGGGAGAATCTTTTCTAACAGAATTTTAACTGCAGAAGAGATGCCAGCCTGTCTACAAGAGAGAGCTCTGGTCCAGTGAGAAAGCAAGGGAAACACGACTAAACATATGGAGCCCCGTAAATGGGGAAGCTGTATGAGGTCCATTTGTATGAGCTGGTTTCTCTGCATTCATACTTCAGGCAGCTGGGACAGGGGAGGAAGGCCCTTGCTGTGGCCTCACTCCTATTTGCCCACTGGTTTTGGTCATGGTGCTACCATTTTGTCAGTAGACCGGTGGTTTAATGCAAGTACAGTGGTTAGTGGAGGGAATTATAGAGTCCCTGGTAGGACCAGATTGTTATTTGGCCTAAACCAGATTTCTCTCTTTATGGATCCAAAAATTATTAGATTTCCAATATTGTTTTTCCTTTCCTGGGACCAGTTGACATTGACATCTCTTGTCAGTTTTTCCAAATTATCACTTGGGAGGGCATCTCTTTGGAGCACAACAGAGGTTTGGGTTGAGAGTAGTGTTTTTGGCAGAAATATCAGCAGGGGGTTGACTCCGGCTGCCAGGGAGCCGAGTCTGGAACACCAGGGAACCTTAATGACAGCCAGCCAGCAGAAGTGCGGTGCCTCATAAGCTCTGGACACAGGGGCCTTTTTCCTCAAGCCCCCCCACCTCCCCTGCCCAATGCAGGGCTTGAACTCACAATCTTGAGATCAAAACCTGAGCTGAGATCAGGAGTCAGACCCTTAACTGATAGAGCCACCAGGCGCCCCCACAGGAGACATATTTAATCTTACCCCATGGGAGGTAAGGAGGCCTTGATGCTTCCAGAATGTTCCAAAGCCCTGAGCCACCCCCAAAGACATGCCAGCCATCACTATAAATATCCACAAGTCATGATCCCAGGGTCCTGGGATGGAGGCCCATATCAGGTGCCCTGCTCAGCAGGGAGTCTGCTTCTCCTTCTCCCTCTGCTGCTCCCCTGCTTGTGCTCCCTCTGTCAAATAAACAAAATCTTAAAAAAAAAAAAAAAAAGAACCGTCAGCAAATCCTTAAGCTCCTGCCGCTGGTTAGAGGAGTTTCCTGTTGGCTGTCCCAGGAATTCAACAGTAAGCAGCTGTGAAGGGTTTCATCCGGACCCGGAGGTAGTCCTTGTTCCAAGGCGGATGCTCTGGGCACCAAAACAGAGTCCGGGCAAACAACACCTTTTATTTGGAGACCGTAGGTCCCTTTCAGGCTAGAAGTTTGACGGTGGATGCGCCTCCCTGTGAAGACGTCTGGGAAGGGAGCAGAAGAGCAAGTCCTCTTCACATTGTAACCACGCACGTCGAGCCTGTCGAAAACTTCGTGTCATCCAAGTCAACCTTTGAAGGACCCTCAGTGCCACCCTGGGGCGTGACTGCCGGGGTGTCCTGCTGATCTCCCCAAGCGAAGGCAGAAAGACGCCGGCTATCCTTACCTACCGGAGTTCTAACCAAGCACCCCGCAGGCCAGTTACCGTGGAAACTTCGCTTGCAGTGGGAGTGGGTGCCAGCAGCACGTAGGGGTTAGGAACAGCAGGGGCCTGAGGGGTCCCTGCTCAGGGGCCCAGACAAAGGTCCGTCCCTGGCTGCTGGGTTTCCTCCCAGGTAAAGCGGGGGTGTGACAGGGACTGGTACAGGGGATCGTGAAGCCCTGAGCCTCGAAATTCTCTGTCACGGGCTTGAGGCCCTGAAGGGCTTCTGTATTTTTAGGGCATTGGTTAATTCTAGGGAGAGGT